ATTGCATGAATTATAATGTAAATCTTGAAGATTGATAAGGATTTTGTTGATGAAAAATAAAAATTGATTCGTTGGTGGAAAATAAAAATTTTGAAAACAAAATGATCAATTGAATGGCAAACCACTGATTCTTTTTTTTTTTTTTTTTCTTCTTCTTCTTCTTCCTTTTTTTTCTTGATATAATTGAATGTTAGTTTTACTCTTTATATTAATTCCAATCCAAAATGATAAATATCAATTAAATATTTCACTCCTTATATTATTATATTATATTAATTCTAAACCAAATGATAAATACTAATTAAATTGGTATTCCAATTATGAGAGTATAGTGGGCATATAGCTAAATATGTAGGGATAAATTTGGTATTTAAAAGTTTATCCACCATCCCCACTTTTACTAATTAAATTGTTATTCCAATTATGAGGGTATAGTGAGCATATAACTAAATATGTAGGGATAGATTTGGTATTTAAAAGTTTCTCCATCATCCCCCTTTAATATGTTGTAGATGTAGACTATATCAAGCAATTAAATTAGCTCCTATTTGGTTTAGAGTAAAAAAATAGTAAATTTTGGTAAAAGTTAGCGAAATGTGTTATTAAAAGTTGTAGGTCCCAAACGTATGATCAAAATTATTGTTAACTTTGATATAGATTTTAATAAAATAAAATAAAAAGTTGCTCAACCAAATGATGACTTAATCTTTATTTTAGACGAAATTATAAGTAAGAGCCCGTTTGGGAGTGATTTTACCCCAAAAAAATTGATTTTTTTACTGTTATTTGACTATTTCAATCGTTATTTTGACTTTTTCTATTACAGGTAGCCTCTACTTTTCTTCTAACGGACAGAAAAATAATTCCCAAAATCCTTACGGAACAAGTCGTAAATTGTTGAATTGATAAGTACTTAACTGTTCACGAAGCCAGCTTTTAATGTAAAACATGTGGCAAATTGAATTAATTAAATATATGATTGATTGTGACTTTAAGAACCTGTGAAGTTGGATTTTACTATAGAGTCGCTATAAAATATGGATCATTGATTGGTCCAAAATATATTGGCGTGCTGTTGAATACCTTTAATTTTCTTGATTATGATGTGATTAACCCAAAGCCACTCTAATCTTTCATTTTTCATCAACCAAAATGTAGTCTCCCAATGAATACTTAAATTAATATATAAAATAAATAAGAAAAAAAGTTATGCATTTTTAATTCCGTTTCTTGTAAAAGCAACTTTTTGGATAGTAACACACTTCGGTCCATTTGATTGGACTTTTGAAAAGTCAAAAGTTACTTCTATAATTAAAAAATTACTTTTGAATATATCTGGATAATTTTTTAAAAGTGGTTTGTCCACAAGAAAAGCTTTTAAAGGGAGTTGATAAAAAAGATCACATCTTTAGTATCCTCCACAGCCCAATACGGGGCGCATCAAAATAATATGCCCTCTTTTGGTGAAGATTAAAATCAAATTATTAATATAAGTTAAAGTCAACAATTAATTTCAATCACATATTTTATAAAACTCACAATTTTTATTAAAATTTTGACTTTAATTTCTATAAAAACAAGGACGCGATATATTTTTTTAAAAAAAATTGATTGCGTGAAATTTTGAAATACTTGGAACAATATCCCACCTAATGGGATAACTTTCTTGCCAACTTGCTTAATCTCTCAACAAAGCCAAAGACCATATTCGTTTTTTGCTTTCAAGATTCTAATCAAATGACCCCACCATAATTTTTCTTTCCTCGCCCTACCTACCCCTAGTCCACTTTATATTTTCCACTACAACAAACATTAATTCATATAGAATTAATAAGTTTAATTGTGACAAGTCAAGGGAATGAGTAGAGATTAAATCTCAAGAGGTTGAATCCTTCATTAGGTTGAATTTCTTAAAAATCTTAATCATAAATTGAACGTAGAACACATATTTCAAAAATATATACGACGATCGTTTTTTTGTAAGTTATTTTTTCAAACATGAATCACAAAGATCAATTTAAATTAAGTTACATAACTCCAACCATCTTAGACGTTCTCTACTAATTATAAATGTAAGATATTAAGAGTAATCTAGATTCTTATCGGCCGACATACTTGATCGTGAGAATTGAATGGTACTAACAAAGATAAAGAGGATGAAAAAGTGAAAATATTATTTATTATAGTCCAACCATATTTTATATTATATGATGAATACGCATTATATAATATTCCCATTTTCATATTCAAAATTTGCTAAACTTTACCTTAAAAAGTTATTCCAACAACAGGAAAAACGGTTTGAAATTGTCAAATTATGCTTTTTTTTCTAAAGACGTTCTTAACCTTTTTTTATTTCTATAGTCAAATACATATAATCTTTGTTTGATACATATTTTTTAAAACTCATTTTCCTCAAACTTATTTTGAATCACAATTTTTTTCAATAAAATAATTTTGCACGTCAACCAATAAATTTCTCCATGTTTTTCTCAAAAACAAAAAACAAAAGAAAATTCAAAAAATGTTGTTTCAAAACATCTACACTAAGGGTGTGTTTGATTGCAAGTATGAAATTTGTATGGAAAGAAAATAAATTCTAAACAATTCAATTGCCTAGAACTTATTTGCATAGAAATTGTCAATTAAATTTGTTCGATTGATTTAGTTTTCAACCTAGAAAATATTACACTTGTCCATTTTTTATTAATGAGTAAATGAAAGAGAATGGATAGAGAGAATAAATTCCCTGAAAAATAAAATCCTGCCCCCCTAGAGAAAATATTTTCCTTGATTTGAAAAAAATATAGTCACATGACTAAAAGTAAGAGAATATTTTTTATGGAAAAAATATCAATCAAATAGTATAAAAGTAGAAATTTGGATGGAAAAAATACATTTTCCATGAAAATTATTAGCAATCAAACGCATCCTAAACAATAAGTAAACCAATGTTTGATTCATTAAAAATCAAATTTTTTAGTAAACTTTGATACAGATTAATAAAATATGAGGATGAAAAGTTGTGAATCCCATAAAAGTGTTGTCAAAATTAATTAAATAATACTACTTGTATATAATAGAGTTATAAAATAATTTGTGTACAGATGATATATCAAAAAGAGAGTATGGAAGCATTTTTGTTATTTATTGAAAAAATTCTAAAACAATCATATTTTATCATATTATGTGTATGTAAACTATTATATATATGTAGTACAGTCAGGGGTGGACATAGGAGTGGGCATAAGGGGCAAGTGAACCCCCCCCCCCCCCCCCCCACCCCCCCCCCCCCCCCCCCCCCCCCCAAAACTTTGGTTTTTTTTCCCCTCCAAATTTTTATGTTTTGGTCTCAATTTTAGAAGTTATTATGAGATGTCACGTAAAATCTAAAATTTTTTATTTTTTTATTTTTTAATCATACATTTTCAATCAATACACTATTCCAATTTTTTTTTATTTTATTATTATTACTTTTTAAGTATAGAGCTCTACCAAATAGGGGCTAAATTTGTAACTTAACTTCTAATTACGAATATAACTCCAAAAACTTGATTCAAATGCAAAATAGGTAAATTTAATAATTTGTGGTACAAAGGAGCCTTTAAATATCTACAAAATCATTGTCACCATATTATGTCATTTAAGACAAAGCCACACTAGACAAGAATATCATATTACATTAATAGCCTCTATAATATCCATAATCAAGAAAGTATTTCTTTCCTATTTATTGTAGAATGGAGTAATTTTAGAACACCAAAAAGTGAAAATCGACACAAAACCACAAAAAGAAAAAGAGGGAAAAACGTAAAGATAATTTGTGAAGGTTCTTTTTCGAACCAATTTATAATTTTAAAAATATTTCTACCTAATTTACGGAAATTTGCAGTGTAGGTCCTCCTAAGACCATTGTATCAAACTTAGTCTTCACTTTAACTTTTTGCACCTAAAGTCCACAACTTTCAAGTTTGTAGCGAATTGATCCCTAGGCAACATATACTTTTCTTCTATTTGACCATTAAATGACATCTTTTATACTTCACTTCAAATTAGGCTAAAAATGATAAAATAAAAGGCACAAATATTCCCAAATCCAAATCCAAACTCAAACCCCCCCCCCCCCCCAAGAGTCATCTTTAATAACAGTTTCCATTAAAAAAAATCATCGTTAAAAGAATATAATTTATTTGTCCATTACACAATAAACACAAAAATGCACAACTATTTTGACAGAAATGAAAATAAAAATCAAGAAATGCTAATCAATGAAAGGTTAAAAAAAGAATTCAACGAAAAAACTTAAAACAATAAATTCTAAAATAAATAAAGATTGAGGACCTTGAGTATAATTAAAGTGTGTTTCAACAAACAAAAAATGTGGTGTAAATATAATTGCCCATTAATTATTTGCCAAAATTATTTGTTCTTTCCAATTTGACCCTCTAAAACAATGTTTACATTCCTTAAACATTTAACGGTATTTGTAAAGGACTTCTATTTCTAGTATAAGAGTTTTTTGAGAAAATTACTCATTATCACTGAATCGGTTTTTAACTTTTCAAAAGTTCAGTCAAACGAGCCCTATATTGTTTTCGTTTATTAAGGGCCAAGGTGCTATAATAATAGAAGGTTGGAGATTTCATCTAACAAATTAAAAGTTTGTTCACTCATTTGAACAAACTTAGCCCCTGTTTGATCCCCATTAAATTCAATTACATTACATTTCATTTTTCTCTTTCCTATTTTTAACCACACAATCTTTCATAAAATAATATTACACGTAAATCGAAAATTTTTTCTTCTTTTTTAATTATTTATTTTTTTTTAAAAATACTATTTTTCTCATTTTTATTTTCAGGTAACGGGGGTCAAACGGAGCTTAGGAAGTTGCTACCTACTTTTTGGTGAAGGATGAAAGGAAAGTAAAAACAAAATAGATTCTTTGCTTGGAAGGACAAATTTCTGTCCCTTTCCAAGCATATTCATTTAAACACTTCAAACCAGCATTTGTCAATGAAATTGGTGCTCCATAGCCAGAAGTGCAGTGTAAGCCAGAGTATCAACAAAACCTCTCTCTGCAAAAACTTCACTATCAATGGCGTGAAGCACGATTAACTATAATAATCTTGCGTGCCGGAAATTTTATTTTCAACTGGGCATAAACATCAATTGATCGTATATAGTGTTGCACGTGTAGAAAGAGACGAGAGAGAAAGGTAATTGTACTAATATATGAGGAAGAGAGCGAGAAGCAAAGCTGGGAAAGCACGGAGATCAGTTGTTGGAAGGAATTTTCGATTGTATCCATGAAATCACTGCGGCACTTGCTTTCTCTAGGATGAGCGAATCTGCGTATCAAGTTGAAACGACGTCGCGCCTCGCCCAATGGCGGATCGAAAACTTGGCCTCCTGCACTTATAGGAAATCAGACCCTTTCAAGATCGGCAAATGGAATTGGTCAGTGACATAATAAGCTTTTTAATTATTTTTTCAATTTGATTGCTTGATGAATTGTTTCTATCCTTCAATCTCCGTTCTCTGTTTTACTTATTTTGCAGTAATATGTTTCTTTTTCCAATTAACATGACCAAAATTACTAATAATGATGATGATGATTTTTTATGTTCTTTAAGCTGTGGGAATTAAATTTATTTTCTCATGATTTTCATCTGAGTGAAGGCATTTATCTGTGGAGAAGAATCGGACTTTGTCCATTAAATTGTACCCGGAGGTATCAAATATAACTAGAGAAAGTCCTCCAATTGCATCTTTTATAATTAAAGTGGTATCCTCAGTAGGAGATCGCAAGAGTTTGGTTCATCCAGGTAGATGATCGGAATAATCACAATTATTATGTAATCACATTTGAATTCCTTCTTCACAAAATTTTCATCTGATTGTTTCATGCAGAAGTTATTGATAAGCAGCTTAAAAACAACGACGATTTTGTTTGGGCGATTGAGGTTCCTTTAACTGGGAAATTCATCATCGACGTGGAATTTATTGATTTAAAGACTTCGTTTCCTAATGTAAGAGTTATTCAGCCATAGCCTGTTATGCATAAAATATGATGATAACATGAACCAGAGTGTCTGAAAACCTTTTCCATGAGACAGAGCATGCCATATTCTAAATTAAATTATGAAAACTTGTTCTGAAGAAGATTTAACTGGATTTCCATCATGCTTGTGACATGTTCTAACACAGGGTGCAGAACCTTGCTCGATTTGGAGTGAAGGTTTTACACAGAGACAGTCAACTGAAACAGCTCTATCGTCCCTTGGTCGAATGTTTTCTGAAAGCATTCACACGGATATTGTAATAAATTCATCTGATGGGAGCATTGCAGCACATCGTGCAGTTCTTGCTTCCAGGTCACCTGTATTCCAAAGCATGTTCTTGCACAACCTGAAAGAGAAAGAAATATCTGCAGTAAACATTTCCGACATGTCAATTGAAGCCTGCCAGGCCTTTCTCAATTACTTGTACGGTAACATAGAAAACGAACAATTTCTAACCCATAGACTACCCCTTCTTCGGGCAGCAGACAAATACGATATCTCAGATTTGAAAGAAGCCTGTCATGAGAGTTTACTGGAAGACATTGACTCCACGAATGTGCTGGAGAGGCTGCAAAATGCTTCTCTGTATCAACTGCCAAAACTGAAGACCAGCTGTATGCAATATCTTGTGAAATTCGGTAAGATCTATGATATACGAGATGATTTCAATGAATTTATTCAGTGTGCAGATAGAGAACTGATTGCCGAAATCTTTAATGAAGTTCTCGCTGCCTGGAAAGGGTTCTGAATCCCGGCTTAAGGGAAACAGAAATGGCATACCAGACGAGGTTTTTATATACTAGCGTGCATCATTCCTCGTTCATAAACAGATATTCTTTCGTTTAAATGCCTATTGTTTGTTTGCATGTACAGACATTAATCTCAATGTAATATTTCACGAATTACACCTGGACCACAATGATGTGAATATGATTAATATCAATGAAATTCTACATTTTATTTATCGTGTATATATTGCTTTCAAGTTGTGCTTTAGCTCTCTGTATCCTCATTTCTGGTTGATATATTCCTCGCAATCAAATTTCATGTCTTCTAATAATCACATTCCCAAGAGAAAAGAGAGAGAGCCAGAGATAAAGAATTTGGTGGATGGACCACCTACTTGTGAGAAGCTTTTAGCTTTTGCATACATTTTGTATGATTGAATGGTGGTAGTCTCTGGGTTTCGAAGGACCCTAGACAGTTTGAGGAAGCCGTACATTCCTTCAGATTGTGATGCAGCAGTCAGAAGGATCTCCTAACACCAAATTATTGTGTGTCCTTGGAACCCCACTTATTACCATTTTTCAACCCGGGACTTAATATCAGCTTCAGGTCTTTGTCACTGGATAGCCATAAAGAAGAAGATTAAGATTCGAAATTTCGTAGCGTGGGTGTAAATTGAGCAGGGAAGATATGTGTTGGTCTTGAATGAATAACATTCATTCAATTACCACATATATTGTAGCCAGCCAAAAGACTACAGGATGATCAATCTACTCTCGTCAAAGCTTCTCAAGATGTCTAATTCATGGGGGTAAAACGGGATTATCAATCTACTCCCATCAAAGCTCCTCGAGATGCGAATTCATGGGGGTAAACTCTTTTCAGAGTAAGCCCATCGAATGGGGTCACCTATTTGTTATATGTTGTATGTCCTGACATCATGTACATTCATGTGGTTTGAAATATCTCATCTGCCACACTATCGAGGTTGATGGGATAGAATTCATCGAGGGTTTCACAACTTTTGAAGAATCAGAATCCTCATGCCAAAAAATGCAGTATGTTTTCTACTTTCCGATGGGTGCAGTTTATTTAATTCCTTCTTCTTTCTATGTCATCTCTCATAAATTGATGCATGTTCTTCGAAGTACTTCACTGATTAAACAGTGCTAGTTTTTCACTTCTTTAATTTTTAATAAAATCAAGAATTGGTTGATTTCACTGGCTAGCAATCACATATTTCTTTTCTTTGTCTATTGACTCGAACACGTCGTCTAAATGCTCTATCAACTGGTCTCCTCTGTCTCTCAAACAGATGCCCGTCGTTTGTTGTTGCCTCAGCTTAATAGTGGACGTCGTCGGGATTTGGCTTGCTCGCTTTGGTATATTTTGCTTGTTTTCTCTTCCTTATTGAGAATTAGAAACTCTAATTCTATTCTATCGAGAATAATTAATTAGCAAAAAGAAATAAAGACACACAAGGTTTATAAAGACTTGTTTCATTGTGAGTCTACGTCATCTTTTGCTATATAATAATTGACTATAATACAAGAGAAAATAAAACATCTATCTTTTCTAATCTATTTTTTATGATTGTAATTTAAAAGTCTAATGACAACCCCTATTTAAAAAATAAATTAGGGAAAATCGAAATTTACACGGACAAAAATTTTGGAATTGCCCTTAATAAATTTTTGATCCGCATCTTGACTCTGTGGAGCGATAATAATTAAGTTCCACAACTTCCTCCAAGTGGATTTACCATAATGATGGAGCTTGTGGCTGCTATAAATCCGACCGATCCAACAAGGGTGGAGTTAGGGATTTGTCCAATGCGGGCACAATTTTATGTATCAGCTACAGTGATTTTTGGGGTCAAAATTAGTCTATAAACAAAAAGAACTTCAAGTGATCAAGGCAGAGCTCTAGAGAGGAATAGTTCATGTTTCCCGTATTCCATACCCACTTGACGTGATCATAGCCGCAAGTTTATTCTTAACACACTTTTATATATATATATCAAGTCACGTTCCAAAATTTATTTTCTAATATTTTATGTAATATGTAAATCAACAATCAAACTTATTCAAGTGCCTAACAAAAGATTGAATCGCTAAAGTATAGGTATGAAATCTAGGTCAGCTCGAAAACCACCGAATCAACAATAGTGTTTGACATGACTCTCTTTTTTTTTTTTTTAACAATGGATAAGATGTTGGGGGTCCATTCTACAAACAATAAATTGAAGAGGTCAACTCTCATCTTTAGCGTTAAATATCACAATACTGATCTTTTATGACTAATATAGAAAATGCATAATTCATGCCAACACAATAATTTGACAATCTGCCAATCTAAAAATGTTTATATTTCAAAAAAAATTAAAATTTTTCCTTTTACAATTCAAACGTTAGACGCTAACTCTCATCTAATCCCCTTAAATAGCAATTTTACCCTTCACTGTCCCTAATATCACTCAAAATCTTTCCTCAATTGAAGGGCAAAACAGTGATTGACGCTTCTTAGAAGTCTACATTGCCTAAAAATTAATTGAAGTAAAGGAATACTTATCATCTACCAAAGAGCAAGCGTCAAGCTGGGCTGCTTTGCACTGGCTTGCCGCGTGAATCGGGGCGACGACCGCGGCTGGGAGAATGAGAGGTAGAAGATAGGGTTGGCCTTCCGTGTGAAAATGTTGTATGACTATGGGGCAAATTCAATTTTTAATTCTTTGCAAAATTGAATTCACTTGTAATGGGGCCTATTGTGTTTTTACTTTTTATTTTTCCAAAAAGCCTAACTAAAGAAAAGGCCCAAAATGTAAAAAATTATAAAATTGGCCCAACTAAACTCTTTTTCCTCATTCCCTTCGTCCCTGTAACTTCATGACAGTAACTGTAACTCTTCTTCCTCTGTGACTACCTACAAGCACACTTTTTCTTCTTCTTCTCTTTCTGGTCTAGTGCAGGTACACTGGAGTTTCCTGTGTTAAGCCCAAAGTCTATTGCAGGCATCGGCCTACACTGGCCTCTATGTAACTCTGCCCCTGCAGTCCAATGATTGTGGTGCACATATGTCCCCTATTTGAGCAAGTATAGAAAATTAACATGGATGAGGGAGCTTGTGCCTATTATAAATATTGAACCACCATCGCAACCTTCCAACCACTGGTGGTGCGGAACTTTCCAATATTCGTCTCATCGTGCATGTCATCAACTCCTTTGCTTTCAACACTGTTGAAAAGAGTAATCTGCATGTTCTGCAAAAGTGGGAAGCTTGTGCAAAATTTTATGAATATTTACAAGATGTGTAGAGTTCGCATCTACAATTTCATATCTTCCTTTTTTGTGCATTAATGTTCAATTTTCTTCAATTTTTTTCTTATTTTTTTTATTTATAGATTTCAAGTAGCCATTCTATCAACGTCAACGATAACTAAGCCTAGGCAAAAAATATCTGAAAATCGACCAAACTAATCAAATCGAACTGACTCTGGTTTGAATCAGTTTGACATGGACAATTGGTTTGGTTTTGGTTTTCCTTTAAACAAAACCATAGTGGATTGATTCAGTCATGAGTTAAAGTCTCAAACCACTGATTAATCGAATTAACCCAACCCACTTACATGTTTACTTTTTTTTTTTTTAAAGAAAAATAAAAATCACAAGATAAGCTCCAATCTCATAACTATATCTCATTTCCCTCTAATTTATGATATTGCCGGTAAGTAATAACATTGAAAATTCCTTTCACAAGTTCATTATGTTACACTTAACCTTTTTTTCCCACTTAGGCAATCATGCTATATAATATAATACATGATAAGAGAATAATTTTTTTAAATTTTCTTGATAAGTCTCTATATTAACTTGAGTCTATTTGTTAATCAATAGTTCTTGTAATATAAAGTTATTTGGTTATTTTAGTTCTTGGATTGATTCGATTCAATTTAATTTAAGAGTTAGAGTGTGTTGATTTCAACCAATTGATTTGCTTTTGATTTTGGGTTGGAATTTAACCAAACCAAACCTGGTCAAAGTTTAACAATAACTAATTCTATTTTCTTGCCATTTCATGGGATTACAATACAATTTTGATTCCTCTACTATCCCCCACCTCGCACCCCCACCCCCAAAATGAATTCCACGGATTGATCCAAATATTGTTCAAAAATATTTCTACATGTGGATTTGGTGTTCCCATATAGGTAGCTGCGTCTTGCAGGCATCCTAAACATTAAAATAATAAATACTATTTTGACTGCATATGTTGAATTCTATGCAATATTCCTTATTTATTCGTCATTCGCTGCACATGCTCTATTTTTCTTAAGTTCCTGTTTGATGTACCAAATTTTTCATCGAAAATGGAAAATTTTCCACCATTTTTCAAGTTTTTGCATGTTTGATAGGTAATAATTTCTACGTAATTGGTTTTCTCACTTTCACCAACGTGACCCTCAATTCCACCAAAATAAAGAATTTCAATTCCCATGGTTGAGTAGGTTTTTCATTTTCTAGGCCACTGTTTATTTTTATTTTTTATTTTTTTGGCAATGGAAAAAAATTCGAAGAATTATTGTAAAAAAATATTTCCCTTTAATTGACAATTTTTATGTAAAACAAAGTCAAACGAATACCAAAAAATAGATGATTTTTTTGTGTTTCTTTCTTTTCAAACGAACATCAAAAAATTATTTTATTTCAACATTTTCCACATAAAAAATTATACTAATCAAATACAATAAATTGATAATTCCCAGGAAAACAAATTTTAGACTATCCGATTATTTGGAATTCGTTTTCTTTCCACCCAAATTCTATCTTTGCAATCAAACGGATTAGTTATTCTTCTTTTCAACCTTCTCGACATAATTTTTGAAAAGTGGAAATAAATTAATAATGAACATATTTGAATAATTTTTTCTTAACCTTCTCAAGACCGGTTTAAAAGAAAAATAAAAAATTATTTTTAAGATTAACGAACTAATAATGAACATGTTTGATTCATTTACTGAAAGTGTTTTGTTATACTGGAAGAACTTTTAGAAAAAATTATCATAATTAACATTTTCAGAATAAAATTTCTACAAGAAGTAGAAATAAAATCAAAAGTCCTCTTCTTCTTCTTCTTCTTCTTCTTCTTCCTTTTTATTTATTTGTTTATTTATTATTTCAATTTTTGGTGAGGGATATGTTATAAAGAGACACTATGAGAAGGTCAAATTTAGCCCCCGTTTGGTATTAATTAAATTACGTTTTATTTTTCTCTCTTATTTTTAACCACACAATTTTTTATAAAATAATATTACACTTAAATCGAAATTTTTTTCTTCTTTTTCAACCGCTCATTTTTAAAATAAAAAAAAAACATTATTCCACCTATTTTAATTTTCAAAAAAATTGGGGTCAAACGGGGGGCTTAGGTAGAAAAATTATGTTTACCTTTTAGTGTATTACTAGATATTATTAAAGGAAAAAAGATAAAACCTTTTATCATTGTATTATCGTCTTTTTCATTTAGTATATTCTAATATGCAATTAAATAATAAAATGGTGCTGAACACCAACTAACACGATACTATATCCCAAAAAATAATAATAATAATAATAATAAATAAATAAATAATATATATATAAAATTAAATTAAGTGAATGTACCTAGGGCTGGACATAGTCCGGTTCGGTTCGATTCTAACGAGAACCGAACCAACCCGAAATTTTCGAGTATTTAGTAAGTGGAACCGTCGAATCCAAATTTAATTATGGAACAGTTCAGGTTCGGTTCCATTCAGTTCGATTCCATTCGGTTCCGAGATTCCGTATTATAATTAAATTTTTTAATATATACAAAGTTACATTAATTTAATTAATGATATATTCAATTTTAGCTCGTACAAAATAATGTAGTCTAATCTTAAGTGTCATTTATGTCTCTCTTTGTTGAGTTCTTCATAAATTTGATTATTAAAATTACAGGAAGAGAGACGTTGTAGAGTTTTAATTCGATTTTCTCAAATAGAAACGACACTACAGTAGAGTAACAGATTTAGATAAAATTGAGGTCAATCTGATTAAGTTAACTTTGACATGAAAATTAGAAATAGAAAAATCATAATTTTTTTTTTTGAATTAAATTAACTAGTTAACAAATTTATTTAGAAAAAATAAAATAATTTTGCATATTTGAAATATATTAATTAAAAAAATTAGGAAGATTTGATTTTTCGGGTCTTAACCTAGAACAGAACTATACCCGTTCGGGTATTTAATTTGAAAAGAACCGTCGAGTTCGGTTCGAATTCGGTTCCATCGGTTCTGTTCGGGAGTTTTGTCCAACTCTAAATGTACATATCCTTCGGATTCAACCAAAACAATAACTAAAGCAGAGGATCCTTTTGGTTTCCATCAATTCACAAGAATCCTTCTCTAATTTAAGGATCAAAAGCATGTGTACTCCCATCCTGACCAAGCTAATCGAGCTTTTCATTTTATCGTTTATTCTACCATGCACTGAAAAATATATATGTAGTTTCAAACGAGGGCTTAATCTGAGTGCCAAAAATCGTAGAATTCATTTGACTTTTCTTAAAATTTGCAATTGCTACTCATAACTTCCTACAATTGTGACACTTGAATCATTCAGATCACGATATATTGACATTCGAGATGATGAGAAAGAAAAACAAGTTGGTGTAGTATCCAATAGAATGTCAAGATGTCATAATTTGAATAAATCGAGTAATCACAAAATATGGCCTTAATTAAATTATTTATGACTGTCCAATAGCATTTTTGGTTCGTTAAAGAACAAGTAGTCAATTGCGTAGATAAGCAGAAATCAAAACCAACAAATCTTTCCCTAAGCTAAAATTACACATGATAATTTTATTTATTAAAACCCCAAAAAAGAAGAAAGAAATAAAAAAGGGGCTAATCTGTATTCGTTTCCTTAAGTGGAAAAATGAAAGAAAAACAGAAAGGAAGAAGAAGAATTTACATAAGATTTTTCGTCTACTAATTTACCACATAATGCATAATTAATAACAAGCATACATATGGCAGAATCACCAACACTGATCCGTTTCCCACCTTCGAGTCGGGTTAAATCTCCGGTATCCATAAACACTCGAAGGTGGCGGTCTCCGCCGTTGCGATCCGATGCTCAATTTCAAGTCATACACCGCCCGGGCCTCGGGATCCGACAACGTATTGTAAGCGTCGTGGATCTCGATGAAACTTCGACCGTCCGATGATGATGAAGAAGAAGAAATAGAGGAATTCATGAAACGCGATCTGGCATCGGGGTGGTATATCTTAGCAAGCGTTCTGTACGCCGTCTTGATTTCTGTTTGGGATGCGTTGTGCTTAACCCGCAGAACCTCGTAGAGGCTTCGTCTGTCCACTGCCGCCACGGATAGCGGCGCGTTCCGTGCCAAACCAGAGCGTATAGACATGTGGCGGTGGTGTGATTGTAAGCCTACTAAGGATTTACAAGGAAAAACTGATGTTGCCAGCATTGAAGATTTATAGATCTTTTTTGAGGAAATTGGAATGAATGATTTATCATTTACGTGAGTGAAGAAAAGGAGGGTTTATATGGAAGGTCAGAGGAGGAGGAATGTAACAAATTGGGCCGGGCCGGGCCCATAGATATGTGCTGACATGGCACATGGGATTCCTTTATTTGTTGGCTGGCTTGCTTCTAGAAGGTTAGCATCTGTCTACTTACGGCTCTCGTCGGCTCCAATTAGCTTCTTTAGCCGTCGATTAGGTTTTTCTCATGGGTTGACTCAGTGAGTTATTGAACGAGAAGTATGACAGATGTCGAAATATTTGCACCTTTTCTTGGTCATTGGTAGACTTACAAAACAAAAGTTGACTAGCATGCTTGGCACCTAATTTGGGTGGTGCGACACTTTGAATGCTTTCTGTCATTAAGACGAGTAATTCAAATTCTTTTATATTGATTATAATTTTGATATTTAATCGATAGTCCGTGCCTTAAAAATTGGGGTATTCATAATGTCCAAACTATTACTTTAAAAAAAAAAAAAAACTCCATAATTAACAATTTTTAACTCCCAGCATGCCAACTCTCATTTGATAGCGTCACGGTTTAACACAGGTATCATTAGGACTCATCTATCACTACAATTTAGGACTAGTGCGCTATCAAGGTTATGGGATCCTTGACCTTCCTCGACGCTATGAAGCATATCAAGGGATATAGTATTCTTAGTGAAAGCATGCTAGATGTACAATATTTTTTACACCATCTTTGACAGTCTTCTCACATTACACATGTGGGTCTCGCGATTAAAATAATCGTGGAGCCCACTCCTGTGAGTGGGATGTTTAGTGTGAGGCATCCGAAACCTCATCATACTTTTTTGATGGAGCCTAAAATTTTTTAAAATTGTCACGCTGATTTGTTAAAATAAATAATAATAATAAAATAAGAGAAAGAAAAGAAAAGGATGGTTCAATTTTGCACCTAATTTTTATTTTTTAGTAAATGCAACAGAATAAATTGCTAATAATTCAAGTAACTGTAGAGATGCCAGCAAAATTAATTTATTTAGAACTTAACTAGAAAGAGAGTTTAGGGGGTGTTTGATAGCATGGAAATGGAAAAAAAAAATATTTTTCTTTAATTGACAATTTTCATGTAAAACAAAATTAAACGAACATTAAAAAATATTTTTATTTCAACATTTTTCACGTGAAAAATTATACAAATCAAACACAATAATTTACAATTTTTAGGAAAACAATTAGAGTGTGTTTGATTGACATGGAAAATATCACCTAGAAAAGAAAATATTTTCCATCTTTTGTGGAAAATAAAAACCACCTCTACCCAAAAAAAATATTTTCCTTAAAAAAAGGAAAATTAGGCATATTTTTAAAAGTTGGAAAATATTTTCCATGGAAAAAAATAGCAATCAAACACTCCAAGTTAGGCAATTCAATTCCATCTTTACAATCAAATGGACCCTTAGTGTTTTGCTTTTTATATTATTTAGTTTAATTTGTCGACGTCATCATCCGTACTAAAATTGGGTGCCCCATAATTGATTGCAGTGGTTTCCAACTATTTTCCTTCATATTTGCAACTAACACACACAAGCATGATGGCAAACTTTTGTTTGTCGGCCAATTTACACTCGTAAGAGCATCTCAAGTAATCGTTCATTTTTTTACATAGACAAGCTCAAAATCAAGGTGAAAAAAATAGGGTGGACATGTGTCGAAATATGATTGGACATTTTGAAAAAAAAAAAAGGCCCAATCAATCTCTATCAAATCAGTATGTATGCTGACTCCCTGTTTTCAAACTTGTCTGATTAGCTTTATTCAAAAGTAAAATACTTCCCATTTCAAAGAGTCAATTCTTAAGTTCTAATATACTCTTTAAATTATATTTTGGAGAGTGAAATCCATTTTCTATGATTAAATGCATTCAAAATATTCCAATTTTCAATGTTTCATATATTGACCCAATTAAATGGCACTCACCCGCCATATAAAGAAAAACTTACTTTCATTAAGAAAATGTAATAAATATAGTTGAATTCAAAATGTATTACATTTTTTCTAATAACCCTCTATATTAATTAATGATTAAAATGTGAGTAGTTCACATTATTGATAATAAGGCACATTAAATAGAATCATATTAGAAAATTAAAAAATTAGCTATACTCTCAACAAGTATAGTGATATATAATTTAGGACATGAAAAGAAGGAAATCAATCATACCTTTATAAGATAGACGGAGTACATACAAGAAAATTCAGATATAGAATATAATAATTTGGAGGGAAGTCAACAAAATAAAAGATAGAAAAAAAATAATAAATGCGTATTGGGAGTAATAAAATTAAGTGTCAAAAATAAAGAGGTTGTTTATAGGGGTAAATATGGTTTGCTTGACCAGTTTGTGACAAATTGTAAAATCAAACCATTAAAACGGTTTTGAATTTTTTTTTTTCAAATCAAACCAAACCACTTTAATTTTTAAATAAAATCAATTCAAACCACTTTTTTCGGTTTCATTAAATTTAAAGTCATGGTTTACTGAATACAAAAATTGTATATAAAATAAATTAAATAATAAATACTAGTTTAAAATTTCACATTAAAACATACATAGTACTGTAAAAAATGTTACAAATTAAAGTTATATATATAATTTTAATCATTCAAATGCAACATGATAGAAACATTTTAACATCTTAATAGATACTAATTAGTGTAATATTTACAATTATAACACATAATTCAACCTCTCAATAAAGATAAGAATATCGTATGTTAATTCATTTATTATAGTTAAATTATATAAAACAACTAATCAAAGAAAATGAATAGAAATGTCAATAAGGTACTACCTTCTATAACTTTTTGTAAATCATCTAATACTTCTACCTCATCCAAATATTGACGAATCACTATAGATTTGTTGTTATAATGTAACCAAATTTTAAAGCAAATTACGTCAACAACTATAATTGCACCCAACAAATTTCTAAGGAATCAAGAATTTGACCACTAGTAAGGAATGCGGAAGCATAAATAATTGTTGATATTTGGATAGCTAACACATTTTTATGTCATCATCCGTACTAAAATTGGGTGCCCCATAATTGATTGCAGTGGTTTCCAACTATTTTCCTTCATATTTGCAACTAACACACACAAGCATGATGGCAAACTTTTGTTTGTCGGCCAATTTACACTCGTAAGAGCATCTCAAGTAATCGTTCATTTTTTTACATAGACAAGCTCAAAATCAAGGTGAAAAAAATAGGGTGGACATGTGTCGAAATATGATTGGACATTTTGAAAAAAAAAAGGCCCAATCAATCTCTATCAAATCAGTATGTATGCTGACTCCCTGTTTTCAAACTTGTCTGATTAGCTTTATTCAAAAGTAAAATACTTCCCATTTCAAAGAGTCAATTCTTAAGTTCTAATATACTCTTTAAATTATATTTTGGAGAGTGAAATCCATTTTCTATGATTAAATGCATTCAAAATATTCCAATTTTCAATGTTTCATATATTGACCCAATTAAATGGCACTCACCCGCCATATAAAGAAAAACTTACTTTCATTAAGAAAATGTAATAAATATAGTTGAATTCAAAATGTATTACATTTTTTCTAATAACCCTCTATATTAATTAATGATTAAAATGTGAGTAGTTCACATTATTGATAATAAGGCACATTAAATAGAATCATATTAGAAAATTAAAAAATTAGCTATACTCTCAACAAGTATAGTGATATATAATTTAGGACATGAAAAGAAGGAAATCAATCATACCTTTATAAGATAGACGGAGTACATACAAGAAAATTCAGATATAGAATATAATAATTTGGAGGGAAGTCAACAAAATAAAAGATAGAAAAAAAATAATAAATGCGTATTGGGAGTAATAAAATTAAGTGTCAAAAATAAAGAGGTTGTTTATAGGGGTAAATATGGTTTGCTTGACCAGTTTGTGACAAATTGTAAAATCAAACCATTAAAACGGTTTTGAATTTTTTTTTTTCAAATCAAACCAAACCACTTTAATTTTTAAATAAAATCAATTCAAACCACTTTTTTCGGTTTCATTAAATTTAAAGTCATGGTTTACTGAATACAAAAATTGTATATAAAATAAATTAAATAATAAATACGAGTTTAAAATTTCACATTAAAACATACATAGTACTGTAAAAAATGTTACAAATTAAAGTTATATATATAATTTTAATCATTCAAATGCAACATGATAGAAACATTTTAACATCTTAATAGATACTAATTAGTGTAATATTTACAATTATAACACATAATTCAACCTCTCAATAAAGATAAGAATATCGTATGTTAATTCATTTATTATAGTTAAATTATATAAAACAACTAATCAAAGAAAATGAATAGAAATGTCAATAAGGTACTACCTTCTATAACTTTTTGTAAATCATCTAATACTTCTACCTCATCCAAATATTGACGAATCACTATAGATTTGTTGTTATAATGTAACCAATTTTTAAATCAAATTACGTCAACAACTATAATTGCACCCAACAAATTTATAAGGAATCAAGAATTTGACCACTAGTAAGGAATGCGGAAGCATAAATAATTGTTGATATTTGGATAGCTAACACATTTTTATTAGTTTGGGTAATAATCTTGTATTTATATAGATTCAATTTTCATCAAAGTAATATGTCGAAAGACTCATTAATCAAATCTTTAAAATAACCATTTAAGCAATCTACCAAATCATTTTAGTAATTAACAGTAAAATCTAGAAACTAAGTTAAAATATAAATAATTAATTGAGTGACATGACCAGAAAATTAAGATGTAAATAAACAAAAAATGTTGTCCAGTAAAAGTTTAAGGAAGCTCAGCACAAATCAAAATAAAAACAACTACCAATAAAATACAACAAATGATAACCAAAAAATAAGAAATTTGGATATAACTGACATGAAATTGTGTTGAAATTCGAAAAAATTATTAGTAAAAGGAAAAGAAATGTGTAAGTTTGAATTAAAAATTC